TATGGTATTGGAGGAGAATATTGAAAGTGCCATGGGCTGCCCATAGAACCAACAGATCTGTGTTGGAAGAAGTGCAGCCAGAGTGCTCCTTGGAGACAAGATGGCCAAACTTTGTCTCTCATACTTCAGACATATTTCGGGAGGTACCAGTCACTGGAGAAGGATATCATGTTTGGTAGGGTGGAGGGTCAGAAAAAGAGGAAGAACCCCAATGAGATAGATTGGCCAAGTGGCAGCGTCGATGGACTCCAGCATGGCAACAATAGTGAGGTTGGCCCAGGATAGCGCAGTGTTTCGTTCTGCTGTACATAAGGTTGCCGACTCAATGGCACCTAACAACAACAACAATTGTAATCTGTAATTTACCTGACATCCTCACCACCTGGATCTGTTCCTACATTTATGCCTTCTTTGACATTGATACTGTTTTGATCTTCAGTTTACCAAAGCTCTTTTGAGATTGTTGTTGTAGTTCTGTTCGGAACTCTGCAGTTGATTGAGTTCTAGGTGGTGTTGCCACACCTGTCAACAGAGTGCCAGGTGGTGTTGCCACACCTGTCAATCTCTGGTTGTTCTCTGTTCTTGTTGGTTTTCAGTCCAAAGAAACTCCCTTTAGGATGTTATGAAGTGCTGGATTGGTTTTGACAAAATGTTCTAGATTCTGTTTATCTTGGAATATTTTTATTGCACCATCATATTTGATTGAATCGAATTTGTGTAGAATCCTCTGCACCTCTTTTTGCAAATGTCACTTTTAGTGCTTTTAGTGCTGGTTCCATGTGCTAGTTTGGCTGTAGCCCTGCCCTCTGAACTGCACCTGGGTGGGGTGGCCGCAGAGGGAATCCTGTCTCAGTCTCAAGAGTTTCCTAACTCTCAGTATTTTCCTTTATATCATGATTTTTTCACTTGCACGGGCGAGAAACTGACGCCCTATATCTTATGTTAGATCCAGAGCTCTGGTGGTGTTCCGTTTCCGGAGATTCTATGGGTTTTTACTCCCTCCCCCACCAAGCCTTTCCTACCTGGCTGTCTCTGCTGCGGGCCGACTATGGTATTTTTAATATTCTCCTCCCGCACCATAACTCAAATGCATTAATTCTTCTTCAGTCTTCTTTGTTCATTTTCCAACTTTCACATGTTTGTGAAGTTATTGAAAATACCATGGCTTGCGTCAAGCCACCTTAGTCCTCGAACTATAATTTTGGACATTGCTAAATTTTATGTAAATCTTTGTTCTTTAACTACTCAAAGCGTATATTAGTAGTTTTAAGACTGATAAGGCTTTCTCTTACAAGAATGAACATCTTCAGTAGATTGCTTTCATGACAGTAAAATGTAATGTCCTTTATTTTCACTTATTGTCAGTTTATTAATGCTAATATGTACAGTAGCTATTATCTCTTGCTTTATAGTAGTATATTTTCTTTCAAATTGTTAGCATTGCTTCAGATTTTTATTGCTTTTTTATTTTTTTAATTTAACATTTTAATTGTAGATTGAGTGAAAGTTTATAGGGCATATCATCAGTTTTACATTCAACAAATCATATACCTTGTTTCATTGCATTGATTATAATCCCCTCCAGGCACCATCAGTTAACAGTATTTCTTTCTATTGACTTTAGCTTTTTTAAAACACAAACAACAAGAAAAAAGCCACTCAGGCATATATAATAATTTACATCTCCAAAGGGCACATTCTACAAGTCTGCTCCTGGCTACCAGCTCTTAGACCTTCTCTTCTTTGTCCATGAATCTAGAGTCCTCAGCTGCTCCCCCTTTCCATGCCCCCATCTCTGCCTCCATCGCTGACGCTGCTGCTTCTCTGGATAAGGTCCTGCATTCTGCTTGTGCGTTCCTTTCTTGATGGTCCTAGGGTCCTCTGTTTCTGGACTGCAAGATTAACCACTCCTCATTTTTTGTTACAAAACTTCTACCTTTACAATTGTGACAGTCACAATTAGTCATGATAACAATTATTCACTATTGAATCTTACAAATCTTATCCCCATCTCTTTTCACCACACCCATCTAGACAAGATGACAGCTATTCAGTGGGGACTCATTCTTTCCCCCTAGACTCTTAAACTCCCTCTTGAAACCTTGTAAGCCAGTCACTTCGTGCCTTTTTTGCCCTATTTTAGGTAGCCAGTATCTAAGTTGCCCATCCCTATTTACCCTGTGCACAGAGCGGATAGCATTGATACTTGATGTGAAGACTATTTCCTCTCTGTTGGTATTTAGAGTAACTACCGCTCTGAGTATAGGTCAGGTTCATCATGAAGATGTATCTTCTGCCACTATAGCTGTTCCAATCTGCTTGTCCTTTCTAGTGGGAATGTCTCACCTCATAAGGTTCTAGATGGGACTCAGGATTCTACCTAAGTTCCTATACTCTGTAAAGGCTTTGCACGAGGCCTATGTCACTGGGCAAGCTGTAGAACCCCTTTTAGGTATTCCAATCAGTTATAGGCTGGAGGCAGGCTTACAAGTTTTCTCTAATCATGTTTCCCAACATTCCTTTCTATCCCACTCAAGTGTCTATTTTACAATAGTAGGCAAGGGAAACTAATATTC